ATAAAGTTCACCTTAGATAAATCTACATTTGTTGCTCTTCTCTAGAAACTCTGAAACCTTCTCTAGAAATGCCGTAGAGAGAGAAGAAATTGCCTGCTTTTGTTAGCCTCTTACCTTAAGTTATTCTCTTTCTCTCTAAGCCTGTAAACAGGGCAAGTTTCCCATTATTTTCTGTCTTGAGCTTCGAAGATAACAGAAAGAAGTGTACTTGTGCAGAGAGGTGGTTAATGCCTTGCCACTAATAAAATGTTCTAGGTGTAATGACAGAGGAAAGAGAATGCAATATTTTAAATGCAAATGAAAAGGCAGAGTTCTTATAATTTTTAAAAATTTCTTGAATAGATTCTGGTTTTCTTGAAATACAAATTAGTATCCTTTGGCTATCTATATCAGTGAAGACTCAGTGAAGTAGATATGAAGGTGTTCTAGATATCACCTACCGAGGTCAGGTGCTTCTAAGGTGGCATTTCATTTATTTCTTCCATCAGCCCCATGATTGATTTTTGAATCTTTATTTTACAGTTAAGCCTGTTGACGATCAGAAAGGTAATATCACTTGGCTGTTGAGTGATGGAGGTTGTCTTTCTAGATACTCCGTGCTCCTTTTTGCAATGGCATATGGCTTTCCAATCAAGTTACATAAAAACATGAATTAAACTATAATGCATGATCTTGCCTTTGATATTATTTCTTTTCAGTCTCCTTAATGAACCCATACATACCATTTCTTTTTTCCTTCATTGATGGAAAATATTGTTCCCAGAGTGGCATGCTGGTACTTGCTGATGATCAATGAAAAGGAAAACTTGTTCTCCATTTTTACACTACAAAAAATAATGTGCCCACCCCAACCCCCACACCTAGCCATATTATCCAATTTACTTTGGTCATTTTACCATAAAAGTTCTATATAAATTCTTATTTAGTGAAACAATACCTGCAATTTTAACTCAAGCACTACTTTTATTTATTCATGTCGACAAAATATCTTCTGTAACCATTTTTAAAAATGAGTTAAAAGAGTTTAGAACTCGGAAGCTTTACATTTCCTCCGCTCTTTATGTTGTGGCTAAAAGGAGCTGAGCATTTCCCAGATGGAATGAGCTGGTAATGTTGGATGTTTACACTTATATTGAGACTTACAAAAGTAAAGCTTCATAAAATTTTCTACTACCCAAGTCTGCTTTCATGATGTTTTTATTGAATATCTCTTGCATCATTTAAAAGGCTATAAAACTAGGTTTACCGAAGTACCAAGGGCCATGAAATTCAAGGTAGAAGCTTTCCATGGAAAGACTTGAACAATCGTCTTTGTGCTTCAAGGACTTAGCCTGAGGTCTCATGCTATTCGTCCACTAAGTATAAAGAATCCTGGGTATTATCCCTGTGATACAAACACAGATTGCAGACTTCTTCTCTTGTTTGCTACTTTTCACCTCCGCAAATACAAAGCTTTGACAAATATAATGTGATTATTTCAAATTCTCTTCACAAAGAGTTCAGACCTTTGCTTTGCCCAGCAGCCCGGTAAACGGTTCCTAGATTAGTCAACAAAGAAGATGAAACAAGCACAGGAGAAAGGCCTGAATGCAGTGGTTCAGAGATCCAATTTTCTGCAGAGTTTTTTGTTCGGTGTTCATAAAGGTTGGCTCACTCGACTCCTCTTTCACTGGGAGAATTAACTTATTGAACCAAAAGATTAGGTTCAGATTTTTTTTCCCCACTGAGAAGCTCATTAGAGGGCTTCTAAATATGTCTCTCTTGGGTAGACTCAGTTTAAATTTTTCTATTAACAAAGACACCTCATTAGTCTTGGCCGCCTTTTGAACTCATTCAGTTCAAAACTTCCTCAGTTCAAAAGTACACAGGAGCTGATAATTAGAAATGAACTTTTTTTTATGTTTTCTAGACATGTTTCAGGCTTTTCTCCTCTATTCTTTTAATCTCTTTTCCCTTTACACTTTCTTTTTCACTTTTGTTTTATTTTCTCTTTGCATTGTCCACTTCAATGCTGACCCCATTTTATTGAGATTAAGTAATATGGTGGTGAAACACTATGCAAAATGTGTAAAATATAAAGATAGAGCAAGTATAACCTGTTGTACTATAGAAAAGAGATGGAAAATTTCATAAACCCAAGATCTAATGTCTTCCTACAATGATCACAAAAACTAGAGACAATATTTTCTTTTGTTCCTAGGAACAATAGGGGGCTCACAATGCACTCCTCTGTAATTCTTTAATATTTGGTGAGCTCTTCCCTCATACTCAAACTTTCTATTATGTGGATAGTTTTTATTTTTAATATCAATTTTGAACTCTTACCATGCAATGCAGTGACCAGCATATAATTAACTAAGAAATAAAGTATAGAAGTTGCTGCATTGATTCCTCTTTGTTATTTCACATGTCACATCAATCAAACAAACATATTGGCTTTATCTCCAAAATGTATCCTGAATCTGACCACCTATTAAGTCACCATTTCTGTTCCTCACTTGCTTGCAATGATAGTCCAAGCCATCAGCTTTTTTTTTTGTCTGTGTCACAGAATGTTTCAAATGCCCAAATGATTTCCCTTCTATTCCTATCCCCAACCCCCCATATAACCAGAGTAAGCTTTTAAAATTGTAAATTAGATCATATCACTTCCATTGCTTATAATTCTCCAATTGCTTCCCATTGAATTTGGATTCAATCCAAACTCCTTATCATGATGCAGATGTTCTCGAAGGATCTGGCTCTTGCCTACCACACTGATTATATCTCCAACCGCACTCGGATTTCTGTGCCTCAGCCACACTGGGCTCTCTTTTCTAAACGTGACATGCTTACCATTGTGGTTCCCTTTGCTTTAACCATTCTTCCTGGCAGTGTTCAATTGACAGGTTTCTTTTCTTTTCTTTTCTTTTTTTAATTTCAGAATATTATGGGATTACAAACTTTTTTTTTTTTTTTTTTTGAGACAGAGTCTCACTTTGTTGCCCAGGCTAGAGTGAGTGCCATGGCGTCAGCCTAGCTCACAGCAACCTCAAACTCCTGGGCTCAGGCAATCCTCCTGTCTCAGCCTCCCAAGTAGCTGGGACTACAGGCATGTGCCACCATGCACGGCCAATTTTTTGTATATATATTTTTAGTTGTCCAATTAATTTCTTTCTATTTTTAGTAGAGACGGGGTCTTGCTCAGGCTGGTTTTGAACTCCTGACCTCGAGCAATCCGCCCGCCTCGGCCTCCCAGAGTGCTAGGATTACAGGCGTGAGCCACTGCGCCCGGCCATTACAAACATTTTGATTACATATAATGTCTTTGCCTCACCCAAGCCAGGGCTACAAGTGTGCCCTTCTTCCATACAGTGTGCTCTGGATCCATTAGTTGTGAGTTTATCCACCCCCAGTACCCCCTCTCACCTGACCAGCATCCAGTGAATATTACTATCACGTGAGCATCTTAATGTTAATCAGTTAGTACCAATTTGATGGCGAGTACATGTGGTGCTTGTTTTTCTATTCGTGTGATACCCCACTTCGAAGGATGGGTTCAAGCTCTACCCAGGTTAATATAAGAGGTGTTAGTTCGCCATTGTTTTTTGTAGTTGAGTAGTAGTCCATGGTATACACATACCATAGCATATTAATCCACTCATATATTGATGGGCACTTGGGTTGTTTCCACATCTTTGCAATTGTGAATTGTGCTGCCATAAACATTTGGGTGCAGATGTCTTTATTATAGAATGTCTTTTTTTCCTTGGGGTAGATGGATTGGCAGGCTTCTTATTATTCCATTCTTCACTTCTCAGAGAGCCTGCCTTAGAATCTAAATATGCTCTTCCTTGTCCCCATCTCTGTGGCTTTTCCTTATTCTATTACCCAGTCTATTTTCTTTTTAACACTATGTCCATCTGGAATTATCTATTAATTTATATCCTTGTTTATCGTCTACTTCCTAAAACAGAACTGTGAGTTTATGAGAGCAGGATACACATCTGTCTTTTTGACTGCAGTATCCTCAGCCCCTGGGGACAGTGCCTGACACATTGTAGATGCTCAATAAATGTTGAATAATTGATATTTGGGTAAAGAGAATCATGCATTGAGGGGGAAAAAGATGTATGGCATGTCCTATTTAGATCATGAGTTCTTTATGAGTTAGCTGCAGCAGAAAGATTTGTCTCAAACAATTCTATTGTTATGAACATAAAGATATTTAAATAACTCATCCACATGTCATTTTAGTAACCAAGAATTTACTGTGGCTTCTCAGCTACTCAGTGAAATGATTCCCAGAGGCTAAATGTGTAGCATATTAAAATAAACATTGAAAAAAAAACCTTAGATATGTATATGACAAAAACCACACAGGACATCTATTTTTAGAGTGATATGTCATGTGATTCTTAATTATTATCTCTGCTTATGCCAGAGAATAAGAAATGTGTCATGACAGTCTCTTGGGTATTTCCCCTAGGATTTATTGTCTAAGTTGTAACTCAATTTGGCTTGCAGAGCTTAATGTGAAATATAAACTAATTGGTAGTTCTATACTTACGAATCATTCAGGGAAATCAAATGGTAGAAAGGTGGGGAGGAAACAAGGAGAACTGAGGGAGAAGAGCTGGCTGGTAGTAGGTTAGTCACCTAGGAGGATGCCTAATTTTTTTTTTTTTTTTTTGCCCCTTTGAAAATTCCAAATGCCTAATTGTCTTCTGTGCACCAAACAGGCACTTTATATTTTCTTGAAAGGAACTATATGGTAACTAGGGATACCGAGGAAAACAAAATTCCATGATTTTAACCATTTTTAGATTATTGGTTAAGGGTGTTGAAGAGATTTTGCAGTTTATAAAGAATTATCATGCTTATAAAATTTAATCCCCACACCCTGAAAGTCAGGTGATAGTTTCTTCATTCTTCAAATTGGGAAGCTGAATCTCAGGAAGATAAAGCGATTGCTTAAATTCAGCAAGTAAGAGCCAAAGTGGAGCAGGTAAAATACATACCTGTGTCTGGGTATATTTTCATCTTATTATCATTTCTCTTCTGTCTCACTTTTTAAGAAATGGTCTGTATTAGAAGCTTCTGTTGGAGGAAGTAATGTTAATTCAATTAGGCTTTGTATTAAATACGGTTCCAGTAAACCTATTATTTCCATATGACCTAACATTTAGTTTTTCAATATGAAGAAAACATAATGGCTCAGAGTTATACATTAATGTAATAAAATATTCATTTTGGAAGGGACTATTGAGAAGATCCTATTTAACCTCTAATATAAAACAGAAGAACCTTCTAAAGTGTTCCTGTGAGATATGGTACAGCATAGGCCATTTAAAGTGTCTGCTATTTCCCTTCTTAAGAACTTCCTTCATATAGGTTGCAGTGCTTGCTATCATGTGACCCCAACATCCTGGTCACAGCTGAGAGGATTATGGCTACGTGGCTGCCCCAAAGGCAGCTATTTGGAGAAAGCAATCTGTAAGATGACCTGGCAAGAGAAATCCAACACTGATGTACTGTACTGGACAAGACAATCCAATAAAATTATCTATTAGGATGCTCTAAAGTAAGTCATGGAGAAAAATCACCAGATAGCAGAGATGCCAGGAGCCAAACAACATAGAAAAAAAAAAAAAAAACTAAGAGGAGAAGTCATGGGGCAGGAGAAGCCTTGAGTAGAAGAAGCCATGAAAAGTAAAGACATCAGGAAAATCAGTCAGAGCAGAAAAGAGGAGAAGGGAGGTCACAAGCATAGTTGATGCTATTGAGACAACAGAGCAATTCTTTGATGACCAAAGATGCTATTGAATTATGGATATCAATATATAAAGTTCTATTTCTTCTTTAAGCATGGCTATGAGTTATCTGAGACTTCTTTTGTCACTAATGAATTTCCAGAGTGAACCCCTATTATTAACTAAGGTAACCAGACAATGCTTCTATTCTGTGTTAAGTTCTAAGAGACTATCTAACGTGTCTGGATTTTCACTAATTTTTCATCAGGCCATTTTATTCTGTGACAGCTTGTTGAAACATTTTATTTACATTAAATTTAAACTTCATTCCTTATAACTATAATTTGTTAGTCCTATTTGGACTGTAGAAAAACATCAATTAAGTCTACATCATTATATTTATGACACTCTGTTAACTATGGAAACATTATTACATCTTAGCAACTCTAAATCTCCAGCCATGTATTCACATCAATTAAAATATTCCCAAATTCTCCACTAATGTCATGTGACATAGTTCCCAGAACTTTCAACTTCATTGTCAATATCTGGTTCTCCTTTAGTTTGCCAACCTTCTGTTTAGGGTTTCATTCAGAGCTAGGCATACACCTAGCCTCCCTTGATGTACAGAGTATACTTCTATTAATGAAGCCTAAGATTTCATGAACTTCAGCTTTGTCTTCATCTTTTGGTTCATGGTAGCCCTCCTCCAGGGCATTTTAAAGGCGCTGTTTGTTGGCTTGAATTTCATTCTTGTATAATGGGACTTTTAAAATATCAATGCTGGATTTAAATTTATTTCTATTCAATTTAGTCTTAATGATTTACCTCCATTACAGCCTTTTGCTGCCTTTTCCAAACTGTGTTCTGTGGAACATTCATGTCCACAAAGGCAGTAATAACACACACATTTATACAACACACACACACACATATTTCCCATCATGTTATGAGTTTGAGAAGTTTGGGGCTAAAGAAAGATTAAAAGATTCTTCTCTGGAAGACCCTGATAGCCTAATCTCCAGAAGAGAGAAAAGGTATAAGCTACTTCTCAAAAAGTATTTACCATGAAACTCTTTTTGTAGAACACCTACCAACATTTGCAGGGACACAAGTATATTTGTGACCGCAGGCATGTTATGAATCTTCCTGAATCACAGCCTCCCAATCCGCAGGATGGGGGTAATATTTGTCTTGTAAGGTTACTGTGGATAGTAAGGCTGTATTGGAAGCACCACTGTTAGTGCTTGACTCATAGAAAGGGTTCAAGAGCTCAAACAATGTTTCCCTTTAAAATTTAAAAACAATGTTTTCCTTTTAAAACAACTATTCTCTTTTAAAATTTTTAGTTCATTATGTCATTTTTCTTGATATATCATTATACTAATATTTAGCCATTTAAATCCATAAAACCGCTCATGTTTGTCTTCATTTTTCCGTAGAATGACGAGGCATCTTCTTTCCTATGGTTCTTTCTTTATTCTTCACAGTATGCACCTTAACCTAAAATTATCTTAGTCTTATATCTAAATTCCACTTTGCCAGCTAGTTTTGATTAAATTCAGTTCAACAGCGGTTGCTTGAGAATTGCCGGTCAGCACATTGACCTGGGCTGCCTTTTCCAACCCTTTGCTCACTTCTCTGAGTGCCAACTCTTCAGGTCCATGGGTTTCAGACTTGCTTTAACTATCTCAACCCAATCTATAAATCAGACCCACAGCTCTTGCCCACTGAGATGAACAGCTGTTTATAATACAGTAATTACTACGGATGAGAACTCAATCTCAAAGCTGACATTTGCAAAAGTTTTTCAGTTTTTTTTTTTTCTGTCTCTTGCAATTTTGCCTGTGGTAGAAATTGAAAAAAAGGACTAAAGAAACACATGAAAATGAGACAGGGATCAGGACCATATTGGCAACTTCTCTGTTTTGGTGGACCCCCTCTTCATACAAAAGTAGCACTGCCTCTCTGTGGCTCCCAACCAGGTGTCTGAGGGTAGTCCCAGAGAATGCCCCAGCTGCCTCTTTCAGCTGGTATGTGCAGTGACCCAGAAATGAGCAAAGAGGAAAAGGAAGGAAGCTAGTGGGGTGAGAAGATGTGCCCAAGATAGCACTTTTTTTTTTTTTGAGACAGAGTCTCACTCTGTTGCCTGGCTCAAGTGCAATGGCATCATTGTAGTTCACTGCAACCTCAGACTCCTGGGCTCAAGTGATCTTCCTGCTTCAGCCTCCCTAGGAACTGGACTACAGGCGTGCACCACGGCATTCTGCTATTTTTTTTTATCTTTTGTAGAGATGGGGTCTTGATCTTGTTCAGACTAGTCTCGAGCTCCTTGCCTCAAGCAATCCTCTCACCTTGGTCTCCCAAAGTTAGAGGATTACAGGCATGAGCCACCAAGCCTGACCAGCACATTTTTAAAAAAAATAACAATTCCTAATCATTTGGAGTATTAGAACCTATTTCTATTTATTTTCTCATTGCCCCTCCCCCATAATAATTAGTCTACAGAAAATGCTATGTTAGGAAATCATGAGTAGCAGTAGAACTTTTGCAATAACTCTGAGTCCACCCTTTCCTCCCCTTTGGGAATCTGTGGTCCCCAGCCTGGGTATGCACCTTAGAGACAGGTAGGTAGTACCTGCAGGTTAGTTATCCTGATCCTACTCAAACACAGATGGGAAATCAGTACCCTTTCCTGCCTCTAAGTGTCCTTTATGACTTCAAAGCAGACTTGTTTTCTCAATCTTAAAGAAGGAAGCTGTGTTAGACCTATAATTTCATGCTCATAAACAATTATCATTTGTTTTGATAAATAACTTGTGTGCATGTGTATGTGAGTGTGTGAATTATATTGTCAAATTTTCAAGGAGACAGCATTAATCTTTAACACTCCCATCTGTTCCTAATTTTCTTCATAAAATACAGGCTTATCCAGAATTTTCTGGAGATATTGTGGGCTTGAGTCTAGACCACTGCAATAAAGCGAATATCACAATAAAGTGAGTCACACAAAGTTTTTGGTTTCCCAGTGCTAATAAAAGTTATGTTTATACAACACTGTAGCCTATTAACTGTGCAATGGCATTATGTCTAAAAAAGTGTACATACCTTAATTAAAAAAATACTTCATTGCTAAAAAATGCTAATGAGCATCTGAGCCTTCAGCAAGTCATAATCTTTCTTCTGGCAGAGTCTTGCCTCAGTGTTTATGGCTGCTGACTGATGGGGCTGGGGTGGTTGGTGAAGGCCAAAGTAACTGTAGCAATTTCCTAAAATAACAATGAAGTTCACTGCATCAATTGACTCTTCCTTTTACAAGAGATTTCTCTGTAGCGTGTGGTGCTATTTAATAGCATTTTACCCACAGTAGAACTTTTTTTCAAAATTGAAGTCAACCTGTCACTCCTTTCAGGTCCTGCCATTCTCTATCAGCTAAGTAATATTCTAAATCCTTTGTTATTATTTTAACAACATTCACAGCATCTTTGCTAGCAGTAGTTTCCATTTCAAGAAACCACTTTGTTTATTCATAAAATGCAACTCCTCATCTGTTCAAGTGTTATCATGAGATTGCAGCAGTTCATCTTTAAGGCTCCACTTCTAATTCTAGTTCTCTTGCCATTTCTACCACATCCACAGTTACTTCCTTTACTGAAGTCTTGAACCCCTAAGAGTAACCTATGAAAGTTGGAATCAAGTTTTTTTCCAAACTCCTGCTCATGTTGATATTTTGGCCTCCTCCCATGAGTCACAAATGTTCTTAATAACATCTAGAAGGATGAATCCTTTCCAGAAGGTTTTTAATTTGCTTTGCACAGATCTATCAGAGAAATCACTATCTATGGCAGCTATAGTCTACAAAACGTGTTTCTTAAACAATTAGACTTGAAAGTCAAAATTACTCCCTGCAGAATGGATATTGTGTTAGCAAACATGAAAACATTAATCTTCTTGTACACCTCCATCAGGGTTCTTGGGGAACCAGGTACATTATTAATGAACAGTAGTATTTTGAAAAAAATCTTTTTTTCTGAGCAGTAGTTCTCAATATTGGGTTTAAAATATTCAGTAAACCATGCTGTAAACAGATGTGTTGTCATCCGGGCTTTGTTGTTCCATTTATAGAGCACAGGCAGGGTAGATTTAACAGAATTCTGATTGGCCCTAGGATTTTCAGAATGGTAAATGAACAGTGGCTTTAACCACTTTGGTATGGCGCTCGCCGGCTGCAAAACCGAGCCCACAGCCGGGCGCTCATAGTCCGCCCGATAGTGTGTGCTGTGTGTTGAGGACGGATCCGTCTTGCTCTTGTGTGATGAGGAAAGCCTGAAAGCACTGAAAGCTTGTTTTACTTTACAGGTATTGTAAATCAGAATAGGCAGCTTTACTTGTAATGTAAATAAGAACAGGTAGCATATACATATATGTTTTCATTACTTTATTTTTCAATGCTCACAATTTTATTTTGATAAATGAAAAATTAGAAAAGTCATATCACGGCTGTCGGCTAAAGTCGCCGTGCGCGTTCATCTGTGGTGATCAAATAGTCGATGCTGGGCTGTGCGCGTTCATCTGCGGCTGTCGACTATAGTCGACGCTCGTACCAAAGTGGTTAACTTGAAGTCACCAGCTGCAGCAGCCCTTGATAAGAGAGTCAGCACCTGTCCTTTGAAGCTTTGAAGCCAGACATTGACTTCTCCTGTCTAGCTACGAGAATCCTAGATGGCACTTTCTTCCAATAAGGCCATTTCACCTACACTGAAAAGCAGTCTTTTTGTGTAGCCACCTTCTTCAATGATCTTAGCTAGATCTTCTGGATAACTTGCTGCAGCTATGACATCAGCGCTTGCTGTTTCAACTTGCACTTTTATGTTATGGAGGTGGCTTCTTTCCTTGAACCTTATGAACCATCTTGTGCTGGTTTCCATCTTTTCTTCTGCAGTTTCTTTACCCCTTTCAACCTTTTCAGAATTGAAGAGAGTTTATGGCCTTTCTCTGGATTAGACTCTGTCTTAAAGGAATGGAATGCTGTGATTGGTTTGATCTATCCAGACCACTCAAACATTTTCCATATCAGCAATAAGGCGGTTTCACTTTCTTACTGCTTATGTATTCACTGGAGTAGCACTTTTAATTTCCTTCAAGAACTTTTTCTTTGCAGTCACAACTTGGCTAACTGGCATAAGAAGCCTAGCTTTTAGCCTATTTTTGGCTTTTGATATGTCTTCCTCACTAAGCATAATATCTAGCTTTTGATTTAAAGTCAGAGACGTGTGATTCTTCCTTTCACTTTGAACACATAGAAGCCATTGTAGGGTTATGAACTGGCCTAATTTCAGCATGGTTGAATCTCAGGGAATTGGAGGCCTGAGGAGTGGGAGAGAGATGGGAGGCATCCAGTCACTGGAACAGTCAGAACTCACACAACATTTATTAAGTTCACTGTCTTATATGGGTGAGGTTCGTGGCGCCCCAAAGCAATTACAATAGTAACATCAAAGATCACTGATCACAGATCACCATAACAGATATAATAATTATGAAAAAGTTTGAAATATCATGAGAATTACCAAAATCTGACACAGAGACATGAAGTGAGCACATGCTGTTGGAAAATGGTACCGACAGACTTGCTTAATGCAGGGTTGCCACAAATCTTCAATTTGTAAAAAACAGGATATCTTAGAAGTGCATTAAAGTCAAGTGCACTAAAATGAGGTATGCCTATATGAAATAATAGTAGCATTTGAACACAAGGGTTGTTTTACCATCAAAAGTTGTCAGGGAAGAAACTAAATATCTGAGAGTTGAATTTCTGATTAGACAGTTTTTTTTCTTTTTTTTTTTTTGCTTCTTAAAGCAAGTGATAAGCTAATATTGGATGTGAGACAATTCAAATATTTCTTTTAATATTCTAAAACATTCTTATGATTAGCTTTATGAATAACACTATTATAGACCTAGCTGGTGTAATCGAAAGAGAATGGATTTTGTCATCCTACAGACCTGAATTTTAACCACCCTCTGCCCTTCACTAGTTCTATAACCTTGAGCAACTTATTTAACTTTCTAAGCTCAGGCTTCCTACTCCATTTGCTATAGATACGACTGTCTCATTGAGCTGTTGGTAGAATGATGGCGGAAATCATATATAAAGGGAAAAACAGGGCTTGGCCTTTCCCAGGTTTCTTCTTGAGGACAGATGGAAGACTAGTTGAATGCTTGATAGCATTCAGCCAGCTCAATTTTCAGAATGTTCAGAAATGTAGGCTCCAATGAACAACCTAGCAAGCTAGACAAATGTCAGAATTTTGGGTTTGAGCCAGGTTTTTTTTTTGTTTTTGGCAGTCATCCATGTCATATTTTTAAGGGCCCTAACACCGGAAGTCAGAAATAAAGGAAAAGCATAGTACTAGTTGAGAGGATTACATAGGCTTATAGAAGAAGCTAATCAAATGGAATTGGTGTGAGCTATATACTAACATAGTTTCAAGGGCAGAGGATTTTAAATCTACTCTTAACGTGCCTACCTCTGTAGCCTTCGGTGTTCCTTTTAGCTATTTTAATGGTAAATAATGCTTCTCATGAATATTGAAATATCTCATGCAAAAATGAGTCTTCTGGAAACATTTTCCATTCTTTTTTTGGGTTAGAACTTTGAACAACTTTCTTTGTGATTAGATGTAAAGGCGTTATTTCCTTTTTTCTCTTGGTTATATAGGATGTAAGTCTTTCAGACATTAAAATGTCAAGAACCCACATGGATGTGGATGAGATCCCTGAAGAGAAATGTCAAAATGCCTCACCTTTTGACTCTGTTAATGAAGGCTCTCTTTATATGATGTGTGTTGTCATGGTGATGAGGAACAAGGACAGAATTCGGAAGGGATTAGAGAAGACATCATAGCGTGGTAAAGGGGCTTAGCATATATAAGCTGTGGAGAAAAGTGCATCACACAGTCTCGGACATCACACAGCCTGCTTACAGGGTACTGGCAGACATTATAAAAAACAACAAATAGCTGAAGATTCTGTGAGCTGGACTGGGTGTCTATGTTACATAAATTATAACTTAGAGGCTGAGAGTGGGAGTTGGGTGTGAAAATTGTCCTGGGAGTTTCAACACCTGGAGGTACTTTGAGATAGGTTGGTGGGGGTACAGATATATCAAACCATACACTTTATTGACACACCTAAAATATCAATTCAACACATTTGAAAACTTCCTTAACACTTGTGCACTCAGGACTCTGATGGTTGCTGTAGGATACATGAAAGAGATAGGGTGTTATCCCTTACTTAAAGGAGGGAATGATCAAATATCAAATGCAAATTTAATTTTATTATTTACTAATGAATCCTTTAAAAATTCTGTGTAAGAAACTTTGGGAATCAGTCTTAGAAACCTGTACCAAGCACCAATTTCTCAAAAATTTATTTTTTCTTAGTTATAATTAATAAAAATATAACTGCATTGATAATACCTGTATAATACATTTAAAAATGTGTACATTGTACTATAGAATGTTTCATCAATGTTTCATTTACTAACTTCGTTATTTTTTTGTCAAACCTCAAACCACCTGTAATAGATTTACTTGTTATTTAAAACAAACCCAGTTTCTTTTAATTTAAATTAATTTATTTGAAAAAGAAATGGAAACTTGAAAACAAATACTGCTTGCCATTTTAGAATGTAATCGTAAAATTATGTGCAATGAGAATAAAATAATCTAATTAAATTATAGATAAATACTGTTGCCTGCTGAAGGGAGGAATATGACCTACTATTCCTTTGCTTAAAAAGGAGAATGATAAGAGCTAAAAAGCTGTGTAACCATACTGACACCAAACAGAGATTTTCTTATTTATATAATTAGGAGGATTAAAAAAATTGAAGGACTAAATTTCATATTATGTGATTTAATATTATTTAATGCAAGTCCATCTATTGTCACCATATTTCACACTTTGGAATTCACTGCCTGAAGGCTTGCAAGGTTAAGTTTATATACTGAATTTTGTTTAGCTTTACAACACTAACAAGTTATGTATTTATTAACCCCAATTTACAGATGAGAAAACAAAGACACAAACAGGTTAAAAGATCCTCCTCTGTTTAGTCAGTATTAGATATAGACACAAATCCAGATTTCTAAGAAACAAAAATCATTTTCCATTGCATGATCCTTATATTATTATCTACACATTATGATGCATTATATACTATATGACAAATGTTTCAAGCTCTTTTATTATTAAGTATCTCAAATAGTTAAGTAACAATAGAAATGATCAAATATTTTTATATCAAGATACAATAAGCTGATTTTTCTTACTTTAATACCCCAATGATAAGCATTTTGTTAATTGAAATAAAGAAATAAAGACTCTGCTAATGATTTGTTTCAATAGGCATACAAATTGGTAAGTAAATTTTATTCATTTGTTTTTTTTTTCTTTGAAGGAAAAAACTATCTCCATGCAATTTATTAATTTTATTTTTTCAAGAAAATATTTAGCCGCTAGTATATTAGAATATAAACACTAAATATTTAATAAAATAAATATATTCCCAATTGTGCCATTTACCTGCATTTGAAATAGAGCTCTGTATTTTTTTTCCAATTTATATAAAGTTAGACAAAAAAAAAATTCTCATTACACCCATGACAGTTGGGAATAAGATGCTAGACAAAGAACAATGCTGTTGACAAAATTCTTTTTTTAAAAGAAATATTTTAATAGGCTCATCAGATCATTTGAATACTCTTCTATGATGCTGCACCAAAAACTCACGTTGTAATTTCATAAATATGAGATGCAAGTGAAATGTGAAACCATATCAATAGACTTTTCATAATCTGTTACATTAAAATTGATTGGTTTATCTTGCACTTTGCATGGATCTTTTATTTTTTTTAATTTAAAAATATTAAGGGGGTACAAATATTTTTGTTACATAGATAGCTTTTATAATGCTTAAGTCAGGGCTATTAGTGTGCCCATCACCTGGATAGTGTTCATTGTACCTGCTATTTTAATAAGTGGATTTCTACCCTGCCTATCCACCCCCCTCCCCACCTCTTGATTTCCAATGACTTTTACTTCTCTCTGTGCCCATTGATTAGTTCCAAATTATTAGAGAATAAATGTAGTGTTTGTTCTTCCATTCTTGGATACTTTACTTAGGATCATTGTCTCTAGTTCCAACCAAATTGCTGCAAAAGATATTAATTCATTTCTTTTTGTGGCTGAGAAGTACTCCATAGTATCACAGTATATATGTATGTCATACACACACCCACACACATACCACATTTTCTTAATCCACTCACGAATTGATGGGCACGTAGGTTTCCACATCTTTGTGATTGTGAATTGTGCTACAATAAACATTGGAGTGTAGCTGTCTTTTTGATAAAATGACTTCTTTTCCTGTGGGTAAATACCCATTAGCGGGATTGCTGGATCAAATGGTAAGTCTCCATTTATTTCTTTGAGGAATCTCCATGCTGTTTTCCATAGAGGTTGTACTAATTTGCAGTCCCACCAACAGTTTATGAACATTTCTCTCTGAGTCTATGCCATCATCTATTATTTTTGGACTTTTTAATGATGTCCTTTCTTAAAGGAGTAAGATGATATATCTCATTGATTTGCATTTCCTGGATGATTAGTGATGCTGAACATTTCTTTATATGTTTGTCGACCATTTGTCTTTCTTCTTTTGAAAAACTTCTGCTCATATCTTTTGCCTACCTTTAAATGACGTTGTTTGTTTTTTTCTTGCAGATTTGTCTGGATATTAGCCCTTTATCCAATGTATAGTTTCCAATATTTTCTTGCATTCTATTTACTCTGTTGATTATTTCTTTTGCTGTGCAGAAGTTTTTAATGTAATCAACTCCCATTCATTGATTTTTGTGTTGTAATTGCCTTTGGGGTCTTAGTCATAAATTCCTTGCCTAGAGTGATGTCTAGAAAAGATTTTTCTATATACTCTTCTAGAATTATTACGATTATGACTTACAATTAAGTCTTTTATCCATCTTGAATTCATTTTTGTAAACAGTGAGAGGTAGGGGTCCTTTTTCATTCTTCTACATGTGACTATCTAATTTTCCCAGCACTATTTATTGAATAGCGCTTACTTTCCCCACTGTGTGTTGTTGTCTGCTTTGTTGAAGCTCAGTTGGTTGTAGGTAGATAGTTTTATATCTGGATTCTCTGTTCTGTACTAATGGACTATGTCTTTGTTTATGTACCAATACCATGCTATTTGGATTACTATAGCCTTGTAGAATAATTTGAAGTCTGGTAATATGATGCATCCAGATTTGTTCTTTTTGGTTAAGATTGCTTTGGCTATTCAGGCTCCTTTGAGGTTTCAAATGAAGTATAGAATTATTGTTTCTAGATTTGTAAATTATAATGTTGGTATTTTGAGGGAGATTGTGTTGAATCTGTAAGAACATTGGGCAACATGGATATTTTAACAACATTGATTATACCAATCCATGAGCATGATGTATTTTTCCATTTGTTTGTGTCATCTGTGATTTCTTTCATCAGTGTTTTGTAGAGATCTTTCTCCTCTTTGGTTAAGTATATTCTTGAGAATTTTATTTTCTTTGTAGCTATTGTGTATGATATTGAATCTTTAATTGGATTCTCAGCTTGACTGTCATTAGTATATAGAAATGCTACTGATGGGTGCATTAATTTTGTAAGCTGAGACTTTGCTGAATTTATTTATCAATTATGTGAGTCTTTTAGTGAAGTCTTTCTAGATACAAGATCATTATCATTTGCAAAAAGCAATTGTTTGAAACCCTCTTTACTGATTTGGATATCCTTTATTTCTTTCTCTTGTCCAATTTCTCAGGTTAGGACTTCCAGTAATATGTTAAATAGAAGTGGTCACAGTGAGCACCCTTGTCTTGTTCCAGGGCTTAGGGAGAATTATTTCAACTTTACTTCATTCAGTATGATTTTGGCTGTGGGACTGTCATATA